GAAGAGAAGAGAAGAGAAGAGAAGAGAAGAGAAGAGAAGAGAAGAGAGGAAAGATGGAAAAGGCAAAGCAGGCTAGAAGTTGAAGTCTTTTAGAATTGAGCTATATTAAGACAATGCCAGCTCTTTCTTGACATTAAAAATAAAGTTTATTATGATCTGTGTTCCACTAAAAAACAGTCACTCTAAAAACAGTAGAAAGCAATTAAAAGCATTACCTTAGCATTTTTTAGTTTTTCTCTTACTTTGCCTCTCAGTGTCTCTGTTATGTTTCGATTTTCTTCTGCATCTAAATCAAGACACGAATGTTACATAGAGTTCACATGATTTGATTATAATTAATCAGTGGTAAGAGCAAAAGTACTCATTGTGTATCTTTGCACCTGCGCCTAACCATCATGATGAGCAGGAAGAAAAGGCCAGGGTCCCACAAGCACTCAGAGCCCTTGTGTCTCTTCCTCTTTCTCATGGGGAACAGTTTTATCTCTGGTAAATTGTATTTTTTTGTAATTTTCCCTTAATCCTTCGTCATCTTCTTTTGCTTCTTCAGATATCACCCAGAGTCTTTCTTGTATACAAGCAAAACATAAAACAGCTCAGACAAAGAACCTTTGGGGTTTCCTTGATAGAAAAAAAAATTCCTTGAGGACATTTCTATTCCATATAGAATACTCTGAGGTATGAACCAATGTTGAAGACACATAAGGATGTTGTTACTATTATTATTATTATTATCATCATCATCATCATTATTATGGAATAATGGACTCTGAAAGGAAGTGTATGCACGCCAAGCCATTTGTTACTTTCTACCACTAATAGGATGTACTGAGAAAGACAATGGTTGTACAGTTCTGAACACAATGTAAAGAAAAAGGGAAGTGTTCTCTTGCAGTTCGCTTTTCCTCCCCTTCCTGTTGAGCTGTGCAAGTAGGAATCGGGGGCAGGAATAGAGCTAAGTCACAGGAGGACTTCTGCACCCACACGTATTTCAGGTCTAACCCAGCCTCAGACACCAGCGAACTCTCCACATATACAGTTAACGATGGAGAGAATGGAGCATCAGGAGTTCAGTTTCTATCTAGTTCCTTGAGCCCATCCTATGTTGTATAGGAAGCCTAGTTTGTGTTTACACTCTAGAATCCTGAAGCTCTAGGATGTGAACAATCATTTATGTCTTTAAAACTAAAAGTCAAGGATATTAGAGTGTGGCACACTTATGAAGAACCTTTTGAGAGATGCCTGTCCGTCATTTCTTCTGTACCACTGGACGCTGCTCCTGACATCTGCTGGGGAAAGCAGGGAAGGTTAGATGGCATCTGGCAGTTACTGAATAGCTTTCTTATGATGTCAATCAACCTTCCAAAGATCATCTCCTGTAAGATACCAATTCATATTCTTCATCTACTCAAACTTGAATCTTTTTTAGTAACTTATATGAATTCTTTGTATACGATTGATCTTAAAATTAAGTAACTGCTACCTGTAATATCAGAAAAACTTTAAATGACAAAATCTAACCAAGACTTAGTTCTTTGTGCTTACATACTTCCAGCCTCATGTTTCTTCTGGAAAAGGCTGATGAAATTACATACATATAAAAGTACTTTAAAAATCTAGTGTTACACTAGTGTCACGGCTTAAGGATTTCTCCATAGTGTCTGACACACACACATCTTCCTTCTGAAAACTACGTTGCCTTCTATTCTTAACTACCTTCTCTCTAGTATCTTCAGTGGCCACACTGTTCCCGTTGCAGGAAGGCAAGGGTACTCGAGGCTTGGGTGGCGCACGCCATGGCCTCTCAAATATGTGTCCTTAGCTCTAACTTCCCTCCCAAACATGAGAAACCATTCCAGCTACCTGACGGTAGGAGGAACTGAATGTCATCATTCAAATTTCAGTGTGTTAAGGTGAACATCTGTAGTTTCTCAAAGTTCAATCTCCTAAAGTAACTGTTCTCGCACTCTGGTGGTATGGAGTGAGAGCTGGTTTTAAACTTTAATTTCGAGATAATTATATATCTTGTAATTTATTATATACTCTTGAAAAACCCTGCTGACCAAAACAGTGTGAAGCTGGAGCAGGAAAAGTAAAAAGATGCTTGTTAGCTTCACAATTACACTAAAAACACGGATTCGGGAGCTGGTGAGATGGCTCAAGTGGGTGAAGGTGCTGGTCACCAGTGCTGGCGATCTGAATTCTATCCCTGGGCCCCACATGATAGAACAAGTGCCCTAATACCCACAATTGTCCTCCAACCTCCACAGGTGTTCTGTGGCGTGAATATGTATGCGTGGATATACACATACACACATGCGCGTGCGCGCTCACACACACACATACACACACACACACACACACACACACACACGTGCGCGCACACCCACATACACACACACATAAGTAAATGTAATAAAAAATTAAGATTGGACTCATGTTGAAAATCAAAGCAGGCTATCAAAACATCAAAATGTTTGTGATTTTGATTTGTGGTTTGAAAAAATTAATATAACAAGAATCTAGTCAATGGACTTTACAAAAGAATTTCAAAATATGCCAGTGATTCCTGAAGCACAGTTAAAATTCCTGAATGATGTCACCATGAGCTGATATGTCCATTCTCACTAACCACCAAGGCCATCGTCAAGACAGCTAAAGATACCACGATAGTGGCCTGGGAGTGATGGTAGAACGTGGACCTCGGCAAGAGATTGGTTGAGGGAGATCTAGTTTTAATTTCCAACAATTTTGTCAAACATTCCTCAGTGTGATATAGATATGCAGCTCCTCACAACATCAGTGGGGAGGGCATTCTGAACTAACTTGTTTGGATTAAGGAGCCTGGCACCCCTCATCCATCTACAAAGCTAGCATTAACAGACAGCCGAGGGAAGGAGGGAGCAGCATGCACCCCGACTAGGAGGAAATGCTGTCGGGAATATTTTCTACTTTGTTGCTCGTTTTCATCTTATATTTGGAGTTTTAATTACTGCTTTTGATTTTCAGCCATTTAGTTGTTTTTAGCTCGATAAAGCCTTAGCAGATTCAAAAGGATCAAAGTGATTTCTTGTATCAAGTCATAGAATGAAACTTGTAATTGACAGCAGCTGAAATCCTAGAAATTACAAACACTTGGAGACTGAACTGTCTTTCGAAAAAACAGTGCATCCGTGAAGAAATAGAGGAAGAAACGTAAAAGTTCCAAAAGTCAAATGAAAATAAAAGTGCAACTTATCCAAAGCCCTAGGCAGAGGTTCTCAACCTTCTTAGTGCTGAAACCCTTTAATACAATTCCTCCCGTTGTGGTGACCAGAACCATAAAATTATTTTTGTTGCTACTTCATCACTGTAATTTTGCTACTGTTATGAATTATAATGTAAATATCTATGTTTTCTGATGGCCCTAGGTGATCCCTGTGAAGGGTCCATTTGACCCCAAGGGGTCGCAACCGACAGGTCGAGAACAGTTGCTCTAGGAGATGACTAAGGAAGAGTTACAGGTACAAAGGCTTTTACAACGAGAATTCCCAAATAAATAACTGGATGACTTACTTCAAGGTCTTAGGGAAACAAGCCAGATTGTTATCAGAGACAGAATAGATCAGGACAGAAATTAATAAAATGAAGACTAAAAGAACAACATGCAGAACCAATCACAAAAGGAGTTGATTCTTTGGTAATAATAAGCCAGGCTGATAAGCCCTCCAGTGGTTAATCTTGGCTGTCAACTTGAAGGAATCTGAGATTAAGTAAGAGACACACCCATTGGGCAGGTCTTTGGGGGTGTTTCCCAGAAGGTTTAACTGAGGGGAAGACTCTTCTCAAAAGTGAGTGGCAGCAGCAGCCCAGGAACAAGATGAGGTGGTCCAAAGTCACAGCTTGTAAGTGAGCCACCACAACTAAATGTTTTCTTTATAAGATTTGTCGTGGTCATGCTGTCTCTCCACAACAATAAAAACCCTAACCAAGTGTACTAAACAGTTCTCAAAAGAAGCAACGTGAGTAGCCAATCAATATTTGGAAAGGTGCTCAAAACTCTCAGTCACCGGGGAAATGTAAATTAAAACTGGTGTGAGATTCTATCCATTCCTCTCAGAATGGTCATCATGAAGAGAACAAACAATGAATTCAGGCTGTGGGTATGTGAAGAAAGAGGAACTCATACATGCACTGGTGGGAATCTAAACTGGGGCAGCCACTAGGCAAACAGTATGCAGCCTCTTCAGAAAAACTGAAGCTGCAATGATAATATAATTCAGCTATACTATTCCTAGGCATAGACTCAAGTCAACATATCAAAGGTATTTGCAGCCAGGCGTGGTAGCACCACCCCTATAATCCCAACACTCAGGAGGCAGAGGCAGGTGTATCTCTGCGGATTCGAGGCCAACCTGATCTACAAAGGAGAGTTTCAGAACATCAAGGTGACAAACACCTTGTCTCAAAACACAAAACCGAAACCAAAGATGCTCGCACATTTATGTTTATTGCTGTACATTATGCATGATAGGTAAGAAATGCCGTCCAGTAGATGAACTCATAAGATGAATTCCCCCTGCCTGGGAGGAAGCAGGAGATGCTTTTACTGACCTCTATAAACCAATTTCTCTCCAGTGCTATTATATCCAAGTTGTTTACAAACTTTAAGGATCATAATGTGTAACAAGAGACCACAAAAGCAACTGAATGCAAATGAACACTGTTTTCAGGAAAACATACCTCTTGGTAAAATGCTACAAAACTTGATTTTTAAAAGTCCTCAAAAATCTCATTAATATTTTACCTTTTTAAAAATCTCCTCTCCTCTCTTTGAGATCTTTTTCATGATGACTCTTTTATTTTCACTTTCTAAATAAGTAAGAATGAGAAATCATGTTATTAAAACAAGACTATTGTGACAGGATTGAAAACATGCTGGAGAGATGGCTCAGTGGTCAAGAGTACTAGATGCTCTTCCACAGGACCCAGGTTTGATTTCCCAGCACCCGCACTTCAGCTCACAACTGCCTATAACTCCAGTCCCAGGGCATCCAGAACCCCGTTCTGTCCTTCTTGGCAATGTATGCATATGGTCCATAAGATATATATGCAAGTAACATGCACATACACATTAAAAAAAAAGATATGGCATTTGAAAGTACAAAAAGACACAAAAAATAAGATGAAAAATAATGTCATTTTTCTCTCTATATATGTAATATTTAACATTATATATGTAACATATATAATATATGTATGTAATATATATGTAATACTTAACATTTTTATTCTTTAATAGAAATTTCAGTACCTGATGTGTAGCAAGATCCTCTGATAAAACCTTACATCTAGGAAGCTCCTTAAAGCACAGAATGTTTTAAAGGAAAGTTAAATATTCTACCTTGCATGGAAGTTCATTAAAACTTTGGATGTAGGCAACTAGAAAACTTATAGGAAGTCCCTGAAACTTAGCAGAAGCACTAGCTCCCCCACGCCTTTCAAGCTTATGTAAGTGTAAGGACTGCAGAGAGATACCCTCCAACTTGTATAACAAGTTGTACAGTATGCTCCAGGTTTCCAGTTTTCATGAGATGTCATCCATTTTGGGGCAAATTTGGTGATGCACCTGAATTTGAGTCATTTTTGAGCCTGTAAGCGTCCCCAAAACTCATGGGCTCACTTAGTTGGATGTTGCTGATATCCTTACTTTGGTCTGTCATCAATTCCCTATCTGAGATGAATTCACATCTCACCAGAAAGAGTGTCACACAAAGCCACTCTTGGGTTGTGCCCAAAGGAATATAAGCTGGCATATTAACAGAGATATGTGCACATCCATTTACTGTAGCACTATTTACAATACCCAACATACGGACCATCAATGTCCATCAACAGATGGATAAATAAAGAATGTGACATATCTCTGTACCCATCTATCCATCCAACCATCCAACAGAATTTTATGCAGTCATAAAGAAAAATAAAATTATCACTCTCAGGGGAAAAATTACTGGAACTGAAGATAACGATACTGAACAAAATAACCCAGACTCTGAAAGATGCATTTTCTCTCATATGCAGAATCAATCTATTTATGACATGAAAATGAAAAGGGAGACTGAGGGAGAAGAAAGCTATCAAATGAAAATTGGCAGAATCAAGAGAGAATAATGAAGGGAAAAAGAAAGACAAATGACACATTTTCTTACACACACACATGCACATGTGTGCACACACGCATGCACACACACACACAGAGAAAGACATTGTATGAAAGTACAAAGGGTACTGCAGGTCTTGTGGTCCTGTAGGTCTTTAACATCAGTACTCTGGAGACAGAGGACTGTGAATCCCTATACACTTCAGGCCAGTCCTGTCTACATGGCAAGTTCCAGCCAGCCAAGACAACACAATGAAACTCAGCCTCAAAAATCTAAGAAACGTTTTAAAAAGCAGAAAGGGGGAAGAAGGAGACTCCTTGGGGTTGGGGGTGGGGTCAGACAAGTGGAAGTAGTAATGGGGTAGGTATGCGCAAATACAAGGGTGTGTGTATGAAAATACCATAAGGAAACCCATTACTTTGCATAATATCTAAAACAACTTCCAGTGTGAAAAAAAGAAAAAAGGAAAAAAGGAAAAAAGTTAGAATGCTGTGCCAAAAAGATTCCAGTGAGAATTAAAACAGTGGGCAGCATTTTCTCCAAATACAAATCCACTAGACATACAGCATCAGCTACCCTTTAGTAGCAGGGAACAGAAAAGGCAGATTTTAACAAAAGCATCACACCAGCTACAGTCTACAAAAAGCATCATGACCCTCGGATAGTCTACTACCAGACATGTTCAAAATTCCCATTTTTCATCAATTGGAATTTTTCAATGACATAAGTGGGAATCATGGCCCAGGCTCAGCCTGGTGATGCATGCCTAAAATCCTAGCATAGGAGAGGCTGAGGCAGGAGGATCAAAGGAACACATGGTCTGAAAAGAAACCTGAACTGTAATTTGGTGTCTTTGGAAAGCATCAAAGCTAAGTTCCCCTGTGCTCTCAAGCCCAAGTGGAGAATCACAGCCTTCTCCTGTGTGACAAGATTTCACCTCCATGAGGAAGGTGTGCTGAATAAAAGCTGAAATAAATATGGAAACAGATGACATAGACTGCCATAGATTGAAGGTTTGTATGTAATATATCCAAGGCAATGGAATTTTCCTATCTGGAAATTGATCAGAACTATCTAATTTACAGCGCAAACATACTCACCAGGTCCAATAAGCTGGTGGGAGTCCTGGGCTGTTTAGATACTAGCCTGAAAAGCCGCCATCTGTGGGTATGCATTTAGTCTCAGTTGGAGAAAGACAACCCAGAGGCCCTCAGGCCACACTTGCCACATAAATGTTGAGGCAAGACAAGTATTTATTTTCCCTGCCACTCCTTTCCTTTGAGTTTTGCAACCCGTTTCAATGGACTGAGTCCTTCCTTCCTTCCTTCCTTCCTTCCTTCCTTCCTTCCTTCCTTCCTTCCTTCCTTCCTTCCTTCCTTCCTTCTTCCCTCCCTCCCTCCCTCCCTCCTTTCTTTATTTTCTTTTCCAAGACAGGTTGTCCCTGTGTAGCTTTTGAGTCTGTCCTGGAACCAGACTGGCCTCAAATTCACAAAGATCTGCCTGTCTCTGCCTCCCTACGGCTGGGATTTAAGGCGTGTGCCATCACCACCAGGCCTACTTCTTGTTCTACAGTCTTCTGAGGACTTTTCTTGGCTCTCGTACCCGTCTTTTGTTGGTCCTTACTTTCTACCTTTGAAGCTCGTATTTCCACTGATTCTATCTAAGGTGTTATCTTAATGTCTATACCAGCAGGGAGTTCAACTCCACCTGATCACCTTCCTCCACTCAGGAAATAGTTTTCTGACCTGAACTTAATCCAAATCGCCCACTGACCTCGAAGCTGGAGAACACACAAGCTTTCAGCCCTATTCCTCATGAGGATGGCAGGCAGGAGGCGCGGTTCCGTGTTATCCCAGCCCCAAGATTCCTCACAGCGCAAGGCTCCATCCCCAGTGTGTTCAGGGACCAGCGTGAGGGCCTTAAAGGACAACAGGACATTCACCTGACGGACACTGCTCTTTCGACGCGCCTGGGAAGTGAAGGCAGATCACGAGCAGCTACCAACGCCCACGGCCCAAGAGCATGCGCGATGCGGGTTCCCTGTCTAAGGGAGTATTCTCTGCGCTGCCCTTCCGCTCTCCTGCCACTGGGTTTCAGCTCCGCCTCCAAGCACACGATCTCCTCGTGAGCCCCTGTGTCGTCAGCATCTCGTGCTCCTCCTCACTGTGGGCAGGGAGGGGGAAGCGAGGGGGTGATAGAGAAGAGGGGGGGAAGCTTGAGAGTCACACCTGCCACGGAGTAGGACACGAGAGCTGGTGCAGGATGTGTGTGCATTCATTTCAGGTGACCTGAATATGACCTATGCCTACAGATTTCAATTCAAGCGATTTGTTTTTATTTTCAGAGTTTGCAATTTGTGTCACAAATTTATTAACTTTTGAGTCTTGGGCTGGGTGCTAGAGAGTTTAGTGGTTAAGGACACTTTATTGCTCTTGCAAAGGTTCCCAGTTCACAGCACCCAGTTGGGCAGCCCACAATCATCAGTAACTCTGACTCCAGGGTGTCTGGCGCCCTCTTCTGGCCTCAGTAGCACCTGACCTCACACATACATGTATTCTCCCACACCCATACACACATGATTAAAAATAGATTTATTTTAATTAAATAGATTTATAAATTAAGTGATTATAATTATTTAATTAATATTAATTAAATTAATTAATGATTGTGCTGGGGAGATGGCTCAGCACATAAAACACTTGATGTGAGTTCAGTGAAGTTCGAATTCCCAGGCAAGTGTGGAGGGAGAGGCTGGAATCCTTGGGGCAAGCTCTGGGTTCCAGGAGAGGCCAATTCCTCAGTAAATAAACTGGAGTGTGATAGAGAAAGCCAACCATCGTGAAACTGTGGCCTCCGAATGCACCTACACTGTAAGTGTACCACTCAGGCAATAAATACACAGATAACAATACACCTCCACCCCATGTGCCTACTCCTTGTTAAAATAATGGTCTAAATACACCCTGCAAAGTTGGGAGCTTGCGACTGGGACTCAGCACAGTGCCGTGTGCCCCATCATTCCAACATGACATTTAATGAATTGCTTTCTATGCTCACCCCATTGAAGGCTTGGTCTGCGACTCTAGAGACACGTAGCAGGGCTTTAAAACTAGACGGCCCCACACTTGAGAAAAGGGAGCGCAGAAATAAACCTGCTGCAGAGGTGGTGGGTTAGGTAGGGACCCTGGAGCACAAGGAAGTGAACTCAGAAGTTCCATTTGCCTCATTATCTAGACAATAAATAAATAACTAAACAAAAAGCTACTCACTGTTCAAAGTGTCTAAGCCTCAGAATTATTTGGCCAAATTCTCATTCCTAATAAAATCCTTGGGATTCTCTTGTCTTTGTTATCGAGGGCTCATCTGATACAACACTTTAGAAGCAATGACAGTAGGTATAACACTTTAGAAGCAATAACAGTAAATTCTTGTCTCTTTGGTCTTGAGCCTAGCCTCTAAGGGCTGAGTCATGCCTACAGCCCAATAGCAGAGTCTTGAAGCAGAGTCAAGAACGCTTTCCTTAAATACTGACGTCTTGGACTAAACGGGGTATGTCTGCATGTGGCAAGTATTATGGAATATGACGTACTTTAAGGACACTTTAACTTCTAGGATTATCATCCAGTGTCAGGGATTTTTAAGAAAATCCCTGTGTGTATGCATACCATGATGTATTATTATTATACTTGAGTGTTAAATATATTGTCCAAATACCTAAGTCAACGCAGTACAGGACTTGAGATCGCCTACTAGAGAGTTTATAGTACAGAAGTTATAGAAGGAATCCTAAATATTTTCAGGACTAAAGAGTGTTTTCTGTCAGAGGGGAGGAAGTGGAGAGATGATTAGCATTCCAGGGGATATTTTAGCCCAGTAGTCCAATGTCACACGCAGAACTGTTGCTTCAGTTCCTTGCTGTTGTTCGTACACTGCTCCAGCTAGAGAGAAGATTTCATAGAAAAGTTTGAACTTCTTGGCAAAGATTTAGAAAGTCGCCATCTGTACAAGTGGGCAGGCAGGCGAGCAGGCGTGCAGGCGGGCAGGCGAGCAGGCGGGCAGGCAGGCGAGCAGGCGGGCAGGCAGGCGAGCAGGCGGGCAGGCAGGC